CCGTTTTAGACGCGTTCACTTGCATTCCGGACACGTCGCACTGAGCTGTCAGCAGAGAGCTTCAGATCAATTTCAGAATATGGGAATAAAACAAAGTTGTCTGCAAAAAGCAACTTTTTCGTCTCTGTACCACCTACGTCATACACTTTTCGCTGTGACTATCTTGTCCATCTACAAGAAAACAAAACGGGGGACAGAACGAAGGTTTTACGGAGACCGATGCCGCCGCTCAAAGGTTTCGACTTAACTCCATTTACTGTTACTGGGCGCTTGCTATGAATATATATTGACGTGATGCAGTAACTAACCATCGATACCATGTTTGTAGCATGCCGATAGATTGTTGCGCGGGATCCGGTCATCGGCTTTCTCGAAGTCAACAATGCACATGTTACATTGGATGGGCGAACTCTCACGATTTTTCATCAGTCTGGCGCAAGGAAGGTATGTAGTCAGTGTTTCAGCCAACCTTGAGCCATTCTGCACTTTCCCTATTTTACCGTCAGTTATTCGCAGCACCTTCTTTCCAACACCTTTGCAGAGACCAGGTGCTACAACACCGGCTCTCGAGCTCTCCAGTAAGTCGTCACCGTATCCACGGCAGTTTGACAGACGTGATAATCACATGCCATGTTACCCTAATGTTTTGAACATTTCAGGATAGATTTAATCAGTTCCAGCAGCCTTGTAACTTATCAAACATTTCACTGCATCTGTGACTATATCTTCTTCAATGCAAATTCCATTTGCCTGCTGCTCTTAAGGCGAGTCTTCCTTCGGTTGCTCCTGGTTAAAGAGTTTCTCAAAGTAATTTCTCCTTCGCCGAAGAATGTCCTCATCTTCGGTAGGATGATTCCCTTGCTTGACCTTCAACACTCTTAAACTGCCCTTTTAGATTTAGGAGGAGGCGAGTTGTCTACCAGAATACCTTTTTGCCTTCTGAAGATTCGACTCCATCACAGACGAACTTTTTCCAGGAATCAGCTTTCGCTTTGGCCACTGATTTCGCTTCCTTTGTGTGCGCTTCTTCGTACTGAATTCGAGTTGATTGCTGTTTGCTTTCAAGCCACTTCTTGAATACAGCCTTCTGCTCGCTGGCAGCCACTTTAAACTCTCGGGTTCACCACGAAGTTCGTTTCTGACCTCCAAGCGGCTGGCCAATACGTCTTAATCCATAGCATTTGACGGCAGTCCCGAGTATGCCGCTCTTAATGAACTGCCACTCGGTTTACACATCACTGGTAAACTAGAATCTGTTCAAAACGTCGTGCTATGTTGCTTGCAGGTTTTGTCCTCACATCCGCTGATTATAATGTTTCTCATCTGGCGCCAGGTCTTCACGTGGTATTCCATTGGTTCACAAATGTTATGTCATTCGGACCCAGAAGTTAGCAGAACGAACTGCGGAAATCAACCCGGACCACCCTGAAGCAGGCCTGTGGAGATTTGCCAAAATGACGATATTGGCCAATTTCCCGGTTGATAAGTTTGCTTGCATTGTTTGTAAATACACCGTTTCTATGTATTTTCGGTTTTCAGTGTGTTCACCAGCGCACAAACGAAATGCTCTATCTTCTGTTGGTCAGTGAGTGAAAAACACTTGAATTTTGATAAAAGGCAAAACGAATGCAAATTCTTTTTTAAAATTTGTAGTTAATTATGCTTGGATAGCGCTGCAACTGATCGATCCTATTCGGATAATAAAAGTTCGTCTGAAAGCGTCAGTAGTAGTGACTGCAGCAGTAGGAATTAAGAAGAATTATTCCTGTCCCTAAAATGAACAGGCTTGGTTATTTTGGAATGTTTATTTTTCTTTTGCGAATTATGTGTGATAAATGCACGTATACCCTTCAACCCTTAAGATTTTGTTTTGTGTCACATGAACCGGAAAACCGTTTTATATTTATGCACTTATTTGTGGTTTTCATTTAGATATTGCAATGATAGATTCTGGAAGTGCGCGACCAGTTTGAATCCATAGCAAGATCTTGATTTTCTGCTTCACGGCGACAAGCCATTTGAGCAGTTGGTCATCTCTGATGTGATCGTTGCAGCTTGAACGATTAGTTGTTTTCTGTAACTAGATTTGTCATCCATTCGACAGCCTTCACCGCGGTGATCATCTGATGCGCGAGATCCACGTTGTTGCTGATAATATTCAAGCTTTTTCTGGCATTAGATTAGAAGCAGAACTCGACTCTTAGAGCCTCACTGATCGCTCAGTTCAGCAAGCAGGGAAAACTAGACGACAGTTAATTTTTAAACGATTCAAACCACATCACTTGTTCATGCTTGAACAACGCCAAGGCTCATTACACGAAACTGGCAGTTACCAGAATAGTTGGCTTGGTTATGAACATGTTTATCACGTTCATCACTTTTCGGAGTGAAGAGATCCATAAGACATAGATCTTGCTTGCCGATCTGTTCGTCCTTGAGGCCAAGCGCTGTGTAGTGCATATGTGATCGCCTGTCGCCCATGTATACATTATGTTTAAGGTAGTCGGGCTGTCACTAAGACCAAGTTATTTTTGGCCGTTGCAAGTCTACCCAGTGCTGCCCATCCTGGACATGCAACTGCCGTCACTGATATTGTCGTGTATCTTGCTGAGGATGTTCTTCGATATCGCCTGTCATTACAGTATCCAAAATAATTGGGACTCTTATTGTAGCCGCAACTTTCAGTCGATATTGGTGGTGCTTGGTATCGCAAGCATGACAGTGGTCGGCTTCTACGCAATGAGGAAACCTGGTAGTGCTTTTAATCCTTGTTTCATCGGCTCGTTCACCACCAAGCCGCCGGCACTTTACGTCTTCATTTACCGCTTGCCTGCGCCTTCATTTGTTTCTTCGTTATTGCCGTCACGTTCGTCTACTCTAAGAAGTTCAGATCATGGTTGTTGCAGGAATCCAAATCGGCCGTCGTCATCGCCACCAATGCGCGCTTAAGGCTTCAAGAGGCTACCATTTCCTGTCTGCAGGACGCGCTGTTTTGCAACTTATTGTTCATGTTTCTACCCGCTATGTCGTGGCTGGTCATGATTGTGTTCGAAGTACATTTGTCGCAATACATTGCCGCCTGTAATGCCCTCTTTTCTCTGAAGAGAGTGTTCGTGTCGTTTACAGCGTTCAAATTTTCTGGTTACAGGTTCAGCACAAAGCGGTACGTTCGAGCCTTCCCTGGCGCACTGTCCATGCGTTGTGTTCTGTCACATGACAAGTTGGCAAACAATTCAAAACACTAAAATAATTATTAAATGTATTATTGGCTAGGTACAGCGATTAGCGCATACGAGAGATAAAGAAATTTTTAAACATGGCATCTGAAATATTACAAGCGGCTAAAATGAGTTAAGACGAGTCACTGTCTATACGCGTCTCGACATGGTCCGGAATACAGACATTCGCGATAGCCTTTGCTAGAGCCGCTGCTTCTTCAGATTGAAAAGTCACAGCTACGATGGTTTGGGCATGTGTTTCGAATGCCTCTAGAAAGGAAGGCTAAGCAACTGTTCCTTGCAAACCCGACCGGCAGAAGGCCCAAGGGACGGCCAAGATTAACCTGGTGCAAATATATGGAAGGAGAATGTACTAGACTCCGGCTGTCTTCTGCCGAAGCTCAGACTCTGACACAGGATCGGGAACTTTGGAAGCGCTGTTTTCTGTATGATCTGAAAAGAGAAGCGGTCATGGAAGATGACGATCAAAATGATTCATTGTACATTCTATGATACGATGTTTTGTCAACTAATGTCAATGCGCGAACAAACGTCTAGTAAAGAATCATGTGCTCTTTGATGAAACTGAAAATACGTATGCTACAGAATTAAATTTATATTAATGCCGAAACCAGTCATCGGTTGAGATCTATCTCTGAGCTGTGCAGTTTCATTTTTACAGAATGCTTTTCGTGAACAGCACTCAAATCATTTGTGACCTGGTCAGCATCGTTGCTCCCTAAAATGTTCGAGGATTTGTGAGCTGCGGATAGAAATATGATGTTTATTTGACAAGAAGGACACCGGATAGTGGATTACTGCACCCCAGCTATAACTTGCTGAAGCGTATCAAAACAGGTCAGGCTATGGTAATTTTACTCAGGCCAAGGTATCCTAACCTATCAGAATATACCTAAATAGTATGGGGGTTTAGGGTTTTCCACAAGATTAACATAAGCACGGGGATGCGTTTATTCAAGAGGAGTACACTAAGCAAACCGCAGAAGGCGTTATTTGCAGAGATTGCAATAAGATATGCGTTGGAAGGACCTGCCTGAGACTGAATATCCGAATTAGGGAGCACTTATCTGCAGTCCGGCTTTAAACAGGCTGATTCGTCTGTTATTAAGCAGTATTCTCTTTCTGACGGTCACTTCTTCGATCAGAAGAATGTGTGTAATTGACAAATACCGGTCAATGTTTGTTCTTCTGATGAAGGAGTACTTACATAGTTTGGCGATGAAACAATACGTGCAATAACTACTACTACTCCATCGTGAGAATTAAACATTAAGTGCCGCTACCAATTTCATAAGAAAGTTTTCAGCAGGTCCCAAGCCCGGATGAGAAGGGAGGGGGGTTGGAGACCGGGTCAACTCTCCATAAAATTCAGCCACCTGCCACTCATGGTATTGACGCCATCGAAAATTATACCGGCTCGGTCGCCGCCCGGGTTACCAAGGGCCGCGCAGGCTGTTGGGGCACTGAGGCAGACTGCGAAAAGTCGGCGATCACAACCTGCTCATTGCCCTCTGCCAGCCGGAGGCGTTGCGGAACAACGAAGACCGACACAACGACGACGAAGATACCACTCAGCAACGGAATCCCTACCCGCTCTGAACGGAGGAGGTACCGAGCGCGATGCCATTAGAGTACGCCAGAAAACTACACCGCCGATGGGAGCTTATACTCGGAAATTGGAATATGCCCTCACTCAGTGGAAAAGAACATGAATTAGTTGATGAGGCCACGAAGTAACAACTCGACATTGATGGACACTCGTCAACAAAACGCCCACGCTCTGGACTCCTGAACTTCAATGGATAGAGTCTGTTCTACTCAGGCGTCGATATCACGACTCGCGCT